AAAACTGTTTAGGTTACTGAAAAAAAAATAAATTTGTTTTGTTTTTAGATAGTCTAATTATGCAGTTCAGGCTGACCTCAAACTCCCAGCAATCTTCCTGCCTCAGCCTCCCGAGTGCTGGGATTACAGAAGTGTGCTACCATGCCCGACTCATAATTTTTTGAGATAAGATCTTGGTAATTTGTGAAACTCCCCAGGGCTCAAACTTGGAATCCCCTGGCTTCAGTCTCCTAGTGTGCTGAGATTACAGGCACAAACGAGCATGCCCAGTGTTGTATCATTAATTTTTTTTCAGCACCTAGAAAAATGTACCCTGTAAATACTTGCCACACAAATAAGTAAAAGAAGCTTTATTACCCCAGTCGTTACTTATTACTTGAAACCTAAAAATACCATACTTGATTTATCCTAAGTGCAGTGAGAATTAGGAGATGAAAGCCTGCGTGGCAGTGCACATCTACAGCCCCAGCCCTCTAGGAGGTGGAGGCAAGAGGGTCAAATTCCAGCCAGCCGGGCAATTTAGCAATTTAGTGAGACACTGCCTCAAAATAAAACAATGTTTAAAAAGTGTGCTTGTTACACTATAGCTGAATGTAAAGGCCCTGGGCTCAATCCCCAAAACCATTAATGACATTAAGAGCTTGATATATTTGAGTCATTTTTATTAAAATAGGCTTTAATTATTAATGAGGCAGAAGAGCTTTAAATACATCCAAGCATGCATTTCCTGGAAGAGGTATTTTCATTTACAAAATGTATGAGCAAGTTAACTTAAGTTCAGATGAGTTCCTTACACTATCAAAAGTTACAAAACTAACAAGAAAACAGATTTGAAATAGTATCTGATACTTCTGTTGAAGCTGGGTGTGGTGGTATATATCCTCTAATCCCACAACTCTGGAGGCTGAGGTAGGAGAATCACTGAGTTTGAGGCCAGCTTTGGCTCCAAAGTGAGTTCAAGTCCAGCCTTAACTGCACAGTGAAGGCCTGTCTCAAAAAGAGGCTGCAGGTTGGAAACCCTGGGTGGAGTACTGGTGCTGGAGTTGGGATCCCAGTACGATGTAATAGACTGATGCTGAGAAAGTGATTTCACCTCTTTCTCTGTAGCTTCCTCATCTGTACCAATGCTGTACTTGTACACTGAGGAACAAGGAAATGAGTTCCTGGTATACCTGCTAAGAAAAATGCTTGGCACAAGTACCCAGGAACTGTGAATTACAATAAGAACAGAGTTACTGCAGATCAGGAAACTTGACGTAGAATTTGTGTGTATTCTGCCAGACCATCTTGTTTGGAAGAGAGAAGAATGGATGTAGGGGTATTTACCTTCCTGATTTAAATACACAGCTCAAGAGGCCCTTGCACTGGAATAAGAACACTGACCAATGGAACAAAACTATGTCCAGAAGAGACCTAACTCAAATAGGTGTACGTTTTACCAATGTTTAGAATATGAAATATAAAAAAATTTTTCAAAGAAATTCTAGGTGGAACACTGATATAAAAAATTAAATGAAATATACACTAAAAACATACCTGAGAGGGGCTGGGGAGATAGCTCAGTGGAATAAGCACTTGCCTGGCAAGTACAAGGGCCTGAGTTCAATCCCCAGTTCCGGAAAACAAACAAACAAACAAACAAACAAACAAACAAACAAACATACCTGAGCTGAAAAAGAATAAGGGATCCAGGCAATTAATAACATAAAAATGCAAGAAAACTACATTTTACCTCACAGATAAATAAGCGAGAAGCCAACAATTACTTAACTATACCTGCTAACCAAGCAGATCAATAAATTCAAAGCGGGAACCCTTTCATCATCTTTGTTGTCCTAAAGAAAAGAAAGAGAGAAAATTTTAAACATAGTTTTTCTCTAATATTCTTCAAATGTTTCTTTTCCAATATAAAACATGGAAATAGGAGAAAATGTTAGCAGTAACAGCTTAAGAAACATGTTTTTGGTAGCACTGAGGCCAAACCCAGGCCTTGTATGTTAGGCAAACACTGTGCCATTGCACTACACCAAGCCCTGCTTTAATTTCTTTTTCTAATTTTTTTTAACATTTATTTATTTATTTATTTATTTATTTATTGTGTGTGTGTGTGTGTGTGTGTGTGTGTGTGTGTGTGTGTGGCCAGCTCAGCCCACCAGGGGGCGGGGCTGGCTGGCATGTGGTGCTGGGGGATTGAACCGTGGTCCCTGTGCTTTGCCAAGCTTGTTCCAAGTAGGTGCTTTAGACCACTGAGCCATCTCGCCAGCCCCTTCTTTTTCTAATTTTGAGAAAGACTCTCACTAAATTGTCCAGGGTGGCCTTGACCTTGTAATCCTCCTGCCTCAGCCTTCCAAGGAGCTAGGATTACAGATGTGCACCAGCATGTCTGGCTTTTAAAATCATCTTGCAAAGATTAACAACCAGAAAGATTAATGACGACTTGCTGTCTATCAGGGGCTCAGCTCTCCAGGGGCTCCAACAGCACTGAGCAGGTTATTTTGGCATGGGCCCGTGTGTTCTCCTTCCACACGCACCACTCCCTCCTCTTTGTGCGCTCCTGCCCCTGGCCACTCGGAAGTGGTCTGAGGTGAACAGATGAGGCCCTCAGGCTCTCGGGCTTCACTACCTACAAGGTAGCCAGCCTCAGGTAGCCTGTTCCAGCAACACAAATGGAGCAACGTAAGGACAGGAGCCACAAGTGGCAGAGCCAAAGGTCAGGCCTTCTCCCATCTAACTTGCTTCCATTTTATGAGAAAAACATCTTCATTTTCTTTGGGTTTTTTTTTTTTTTTCTTTGCGGAACCGGGGATTGAACTCAGGACCTTGTGCTTGCCAGGCAAGGACTTATTCTACTGAGCTATCTCCCCGGCCCTTTCATTTTCTTTTAGCTATTATTATTTTGGGCTTTTCCATTCTGTGGCCTAATGCAAGCCCAACTCAAGAAACACTCCACACGTTTGTACTTCATTGGAATCTCTTCCCGTTACCCCAGAAACTGGGCTTTTGCTGTGCAGCAGCACCTTCACAACTCACCACTGACAGCCTCACTTCAGAGCATCTTCTTGCAAGCTGCCGGATCAGGGAGTGAGCTTCGGGGAGTAAAGGTTTTTCAAGACAAGCCAGTAAGGCATAGAACCACCTCCCCTAAACAGATGTTTAGAAAGTAATTAGGAGACAAATAATGAACCATAAACTTATTTTTCTAAATGTCCAATGTTGTGCCCAGCTACCTGCTAGGCATGTATTTACAGAACACTTAACTATAAATGTTTGGGTGTGGACAATAAAAGATCATCCATGAAGCTGGGCAACACTCCTCGGCCTCTTTCTGAGATTACAACATGACGGCATAACTGAGAGGTCATGGACACAGGAGGCGAGGTCTGGCTGAAGGGAGCAGACCACACGCGTGAACCAGGGGCTGAATCTGGCCCTGCTCCCTCGTCTCTGCTTCAAGGCTGGCTCGAGGTGAATGGCTTTGCTCCATCACACCCTGCTGGCAGGATACTCTGCCTCACCTCAGCTCCACCACCCTGAAACCATCCAATCAAGGACTGGAGCCCCCAGCACTGAGCCAAAAATCTTCCCTTTTTTGTGTTATTTTCCTCAGGTATCTGATCGTAGTGACAGAAAGCTGACTAATACCTTCACCATCCAGATAAATTTTTTTTTTTTTTTTTTTGGTAGTATGGGGAATTGAACTCAGGACCTTGCATTTGCCAGGCAGGCACGTATTCTACTGAGCTAACCCCCCAACCTTAGATATAATTTCTGTTAACTGTTTCAAATGTTCTTCTCCTATACAAAGCTTCATCATTAATATCATTTTGTAGCCACCTTTATTTGCAATATAATGCACATCTTCCATGTGGTTGCATGGAGCTATCAAGGGGATGTTATTTTTGTTTATTTATTTTTTTGGTGGAACCGGGGATTGAACTCAGGCCCTTGCACTTGCCAGGGAAGCGCTCATTCCACTGAGCCATCTCCCCGGCCCCCAAGGGGATGTTATTAAACAGCTGTAACACACCCTTGTTAACCCCACATGACAAGGAAAATTTTATTACATATTACAAGAAAAATGATGGTATCAAAGCATATCTATGTCCTTCAAGTGTCTTGAGACATAACCTCACCAGGCTGTACTGGTGATTACAGAGTACAGTTACACCACCAATTTAATTTATTCTTTTGTTTTTAAGCAGTGGCAAAGTTAATTTAGAAGGTGAAAGTGAAGAGTGGGAGTGAAACTGGCTTTGCAGAGCAAGCCTGGGACAAACAGATACAAAAAGAGGGTGAGAGTCTGATAAAAGTACACGTTACACCTGGGAAACAGTGTGGGCTATCATGGAAAGCCACAGGAGCTAAAATTTGGCTTACTTCTGAGCAACCTATCACTGTGGAGAAACCTAAAGAATACTGGAACAAATTTTAAACAGCAACTTATGCAACATACTAGTTCCCCAGGCAATCCTGAATCAGCAGTCAAGGCTTTTTCTTAAGCAGATTCACTTCCAGATTTTTTTTTACAAATAGAATCTTCCACATGAAAAGATTACCCATTAAAATCGGAGTCAAAATTTCTGATATACAGTAATACCCCAGCTGACAAATACTTCTATTTGCAAACAATTTGGTTTACAAACGAGTGGTAGGCAGTTTGCTTCCATTGGCAAACTCCACACTAGGTGGCAAACCTGAAACAGCCCTCTTCCCAACAAAAACACAAATGTAGCCATTGTCCCCCAAATCATAAAACAAATTTAATTTGTAAATCAAGGCATCACTGTATTTACTATGCAAAGTATCATTCAAGTATCAAAAGGCTTCTACTCTTAGAAGTTCTCCAACCTCTACTGATTGTCCAAACTTTTATTTGCCATGGATTTGTTGGGCTTCCTCCCACCCTTCCAGTTCCTTTTTTTTCTTTTTTTTTTGTGGTACTGGGAATCGAACCCAGGACCTGGGGCTTGCCAGGCAGGCATTTATTCCACTGAGCTAAACTTTGGTACTAAGATTCCTTTTCTTAAACTCAATTACACACTGAGATAATACTAAAACATGCAAAATTTAAATAACCAAAACCCACACTAAAAAGCTGAAAAAATAATATTCAAATTACACATCTATGTCCATATATGCACACATAAATACAGTATGTAGTCATGTCTCACATAAGTGCCATATATAAAACTGTTCATGCATCATGAAGACAAAAACTACCAATTCTGGAGTGAAGTCTCTTTCTCCAAACCAATTACTCAAATATTCCAAGACACTAGTTACTGTTGCCTGAAAAAAAAAAAAAAAAAGTCATGGGGTGGAGAAGAGTTACCTTAGTAATACAATACTGACAAGTTCAATGTAAGATCCAGGAAGTTGTTACATAATCATTCTGGGCCAGGGGTACAGGTCAGTGGCACAAGCACCTGCCTGACAAGCGCAAGGGCCTGAGTTTAATTCCCAGTACCAAAGAAAGGAAAAGACAAGGCTTCTGTTTTTCAAAATGGTCATATTATTTAGACTAAAAAAAAAAAAAAACCAAACCAAAAAACAAAAAAAACCCAACCAAATTAAAAAAAAAAAAAAAAAACCTGTGATTCTAGTTATTTGACTAGATAGCGCAGTAGTTTTGAAGAGGCTTTTTAAAACTAATTATTCTTAGGCTGGGTGTGGTGGTGCATGCCTGTAATCCTAGCACTCAGGAGGCTGAGGCAGAAGGATCACAGCAAATTCAAGGCCAGTCTGGGCTACAAAGTGAGTTCAGGACCAGCCTGAACTGTATAGGGAGACCCTGTCTCAAAAAACCAAAACAACAAGGGGCCAGAGAGACAGCTCAGTAGAATAAGCACTTCCCTGGCAAACGCAAGGGCCTGCGTTCAATCTCCGGTTCCGCAAAAAAAAAAAAAAAAAATACACATGGCCGGGATGTAGGTTGGCGGTATAAGCACTTGATTAGCCTGCAAGGCACTTAAGAAAACAAAATGAAGTCAACAGAAAAGCCCCAAATTTTTCTAGATAAAATTATCAGTATCTTGAAGATATTCTCTGACTTATTCAACTACATTTGGGTCCTTTCCCTATTCCCCCAAATCATATTTACAGAATTTGATGCGACTGTTACAGTATCTTTTATTTTTTATTTTTTTGGTTCTTTGACAGGGTCTTGCTATTTAAGCCCAGGTTGGCCTTGAACTCACAGTAATCCTCCCACTTCAGCCTCCTGAGTGCTGAGACTGATTAGAGGGTACAGCCACCATGCCTAGCTCTGTTACAGTATTTTGACTCAAATGACAAAGTGAAACTATCATGCTGTGTATGATTTCCGACACAGTATGATCTTATAAAAAAAAAAAATCTTCCAAACTGTAACTTCCAAGAGTCAACATTTTTTGGCTAAGTGGACAACTGAGTCCTTATTCTTTAAAAGCCTTAGGAACCAAATTCTGTATTTTTTCTTCTTTGGGTCACAAAATTACATGTTTTGGTCCCCCCTCCCCCCAGGACTGAATTATGGCCTTTGCACTGAGCTACATCCCAAGCACATTTCAAAAATTTTTTTATTTTTATTTTGAGGACCTGCCTGGCAAGTGCAAGGTACTACATTTGATTTACAATTTAAAACAAATATTTTGAGACAGTATCTCACTAAGTCACCCAGGCTGGGCTTGAACTTGTGATCCTTCTGCTCCAGGCTCCCAGAGTGCTGGGATTGCAGGCAGGCATTATCATGCCCAGCATATTTCAATCTTAATATAATGGGTAGGGCATCTAAGAACTAGAAACACATCTAACCTTAATATTTAACTTAAACATCAAACTCTAAGAATTATAACAGACACGAATAAATACTTCAGAACCATATTAAAAGCACGAGCTCTGGAGTCAGACCCACCTGCTATTAAATCTCAGTGCTACCATTTACTTGCTGAAAAACTACCTGCAAGTCACTTAAACTCAAATTCTGTGTCCTCATTCATAGAAAAAGTCTATCAACAACACATGATGGTAACACATTTGTAATTCCCAGGACTCAGGGAAGCCTGGACAAGGGGACTGAAAATTTGAACCCAGCCTGGTAGGTGACTTGGCAAGACCCTGCCTCAAAATAAAAATTATAGGAAAGGCTGAGATCAAGCTTCGTGTGAAGGTCTTGGGTCCCATTCCTACTATTATTAAAGAAGAGAGAGCGTAGAGCAGCCAGGAGGACTGCAAGCTCAGGCTGGCAGGGGCAACCTGACCAAACCTCAACTTCAAACAACAAAAATCTGTAAAAATTCTGAAGTGATTAGTATTTGGTCTTGCACACTATAAATACACAGTAAATTTTGACATTTTGACATTTCACACACATTATAAATAATATAATGCAGACAGCCTTAATATTTGATAGGTTTTACCTGATTCATTCTGCTAACAATGCTAAGCAAGGGTGGAAATCCAATCTGAAAGAAAAAATGACAGCGATATTTATATTTACTAAATGATAAAGGGCTGTATTTTTAAGCTGTACATTTCCTTGTCATACTGTTACTCTGAAATAAAGAACAGATAAAGGAGCATTCCTTTACTTTTATTTGTTTTCATGTATTTGGTACAGGGTCTCACTACACAGCTCAGACTCGTGGTGAACCTCCTGTTTTCTGCCTCCCCGTGCTAGAGTTAATGCGTGCACCACCACACCCGGTCTCAGTGGGCTCAGTGGGCCGTGGAGGCAGGGCCAGCACAGCATGTGGATGAACATTCCTTTATTGCTCATGATAATGAGATATGTCTGGAATTATTATGTTGGCAAGGCTCGCTAAAGTATATCTTGAAATCTGGATGCATAAATATAAAAATATGATTTTAGTAACTTTTAAGTATGGAATAACTGCTTAAAAGTTAACAATTATTTTCAATAAAATTAAAACACTGAAGGGGCCAGGGAGATAGCTCAGGAGAATAAGCACTTGCCTGGCAAGTGCAAGGGCCTGAGTTCAATCCCTGGTTCCACAAAAAAAAAAAAAAAAAAAAAGGTAAAATTAAAACACTGATAGTATTAATATGTGTTATATGTCATTTAAAAAATTTAGTGTTTTCAGAAATTAAGGGCACCTGAATTAGAATACATCTTAAAGAACTTGTATTTATTCCAGAAACAGGATCTCTAGGTAGTTCAGGTTCACCTTATAATCAGTATGTGGCCCAAGCCGACTGTGAACTTGTAGCAATCCTCCTGCCTCAGCCTCCTGAGTGCTCAGACTACAGGTGTGTGCTACCACGTCTAGCAGCATGCATTAAATTCTGTGTGTATGTTTTTTTGTTTTTTTTTTTTTTTTTAATATTTAGGACAGGGTGTACAGGGTCTCATTGAGTAGATCGGACTTGTAGTGATCCTCCTATTTACAGCCTCCCAAGTGCTGGAATTACAGGCATGTGCCACCACACCCAGTTTCAATGGCAGTCTCAGGCACCCTGAGGGCAGGCCAGCCCGGCATGCTGAGGATTGAACCCTGACAGCTGCGCTCTGCCTAAGGAGGTGCTTTAGTCTGATGAGCTATATGGCCAGCCTGGAGCAACTGATTTCTAATCAGAGCCCATCTGACGTTAAATAAATTTGCCTCCAAATCCCAGGTGTCATTTTGGTATTTGTAGCTGCAGCAGGAGGATCACTGTGAGTTCAAGGCTGGCCTGCGCTACAAAGTGAATTTAAGGTCATTGTGAACTGTACAGCAAGATCCTGGCTCAAAGACCAGTAGTAATACAGATGTATGGGTTCTACAGAAACACGAGCAAACTTACTGGCAAGCGAAGGAGTACGCCAGATAATCTAAGATTAAAGCCATGTAAAATTCAAATATTCCCTCAACATTTCATGTCTAGAATACATGATTTATTAAGCATTTTAAAAGACCTTTTTAATCTGAGTGTGGCAGTGCACCCTGTACTCCAGCACTCAGGAGGCCGGGCTGCAGCAGTGCCACAAGTTCGAGGCCAGCCTGGGCTACACAGTGAGACCGTCTCAAAACAAAAACATAAAACAAAAGCCCAATTCTATCAACTTATAAAATTCTTACACAGCTAAAACATTAAGGATATGAAGGCAACCTAAAATAAGCTACAGTACATTGCTTTAGAATTGGGCTGCCACTTGGTTAAGTTAAGCAGTCAATAAAAGAAGTCAGGGATTGGCAAATATTTTTTCTAAAGAGCCAAAAATAGGCTTCACAAATTAGTCACAATTTGTTTCTTCTTATACACCCTTTAAAAATGTAAATCCAGGGCCAGTGAGATAGCTCATCAAAGTAAGCGCCTGCTTAGGTAAGCGCAGAGACCAGGTTCAATCCTGGGCACCACATGCCACGCTGGCCTCTCCCCAGGCACGCTGAGCTGGCCACTGAGACCAGCACGTGGCACACACCTGTAATCCCAGTGCTGGGAAGGCTGAAAACGGGGATCACTACAGGTCTGAACTGGGTAGTGAGACCCTGCACCAAAAACATTAAAAAAAAAAAAAGGTAAAAACTATTCTTAGCCCATAAGGTGTTCACAATCAGGTTGCGTTGTGAATTTTTTTTTGCCCATGTTACACTTTGCTCATATGAAGTACCCAAATTAGAGCAGTCTTTGTTCTGTATATCCACATATCACCTACTTGGACATAATCAATCCCAGGACTTTCATTTATGGTTGGCCCAACAGCCCCTTCAGCACATAATCTTTCTCCTAAACAGAATTTTTTCCAACCTTCTTCATCTTCAGATTTTGGCTGAAAAGAAAAAAAAAAAAAAAGTTATTTCTATGGGTTTATTTTCATACTGAACAGTAAAAAACAAAACAACTCCCTGAGGATCCCCCATACTCCCACCACCTCAACACAGTGCTTGCTATGGGTAAAACAGCACGTCCTTGACATTATTATTATTATTATTATTATTTTGCAGAACCAGGGATTGAACTCAGGCCCTTGCACTTGCCAGGAAAGCGCTTATTCCACTGAGCCATCTCCCAGGCCCCTGTCCTTGAAATTGATACATAGAAGCCTTCACCTCCAAAACCATCTTAGGCTCTGACTATATTTGGTGATTAAACTTAAATGAAGCCAGGTGTGGTGGCCCAGGCCCGTAATCTCAGCACTTGGGCAGCTGAGGCAGGAAGATGGCTATGAGTTTGAGGCCAGGCCAGGCTACAAAGTGAGTTCAAGACCAGCCTGAAATGCAGAGGAAAACCTTGTCTCAAGGTTCTAATCTAATCTGATTGGCATCCTCATCAGGGAAAATTTGTGGTTTTTTTTCAAGCTCTGGCAAGTTTAAAGAAAAATTCTGCTTGGCTTATTTTTCACCGGTCTGTTCTGGCATGCTTCTAATGATACCAGAATCACCTGGATCAGTGATGGCCAGTGTGCACACTCTGTGGAATTTTCCACATGCTGTGCCCAGTTCGCTATTATTGCTGCTGTAGTGGTGGACACCAGTTCTGGCCAACATGGCATAGTATTCAATTTCAGATTTCCTCAAGGCTGGGCAGTTGTTGGCAAGGATGACCAATTTCGCTTTGCCCTGGCTGATCATCTTCAGCGTCTGCTTGTACCCCAGCACGTATTCTCCACTTTTCATAACAAGTTAGAGCCTACAGTTGATGGACTCCAGAGACCTTTTCGTCGTCTTTGGGGCCACCATCTTTCTGCCTTAGGTGCAGATGGCCCTCAACCAGGAGCAGCTGCCAAGATGGCCGGGAAGCAAGAAAGGTTATCAGGAAAAGTTTGGATACACAAAAATTATTACTATTTTTTTTTTTCCTGAAGACAGCACTTTCATTAGATTCTCAGAAATGATACATTATTCTTTTAAATGTTAAAAATGATTTCCTAGAATGATATATCTTATCTCTTTACCAACTCCTATTTTTTCTTTAAAAAAAAATTTATTTATTTATTTATTTATTTATTTGGTATAGGGTCTCACTACGCAGCTCGGACTCATAGTGATCCTCCTGTCTCAGCCTCCCCAGAGCTGGAATAAGTCTCAGTGGCCGGCTTGGCACAGACCTGCACAGTATGCAGTACCGGGGATAAAACCCAGGTCCTTGCACTTGCCAGGCAGGGGCTTAGACCCTACAGCTATCTCACTGACCACCAACTCCTTTGTTTTCACTTGTAGAGCTCATACAGCTTCTAAAAAGCTTAATTATTGTGTCTAAGTTGATAAAATGTAGGAAACACGACTTATAGTAGCATACAACAGGCTTCACTATTATGTCACCAACACTGTGAAGCACAGATGATGTTCTATAAATGTGCAGTTTACTCTCACAACAGGAAATTCCAAGTGAGCCTTTACTCAGCCTTTTTAAATATGTAAAATGTATTCCTTTCTTTAAAATAATCCTTAAAAACTTAAGAGAGGCTAACTGCCCATTTGTTGACCTAAGTAAATCAGAGATTCTCCAAAGAATATTAATTTGGGAATAATAGAAAACTGCAATGGTGTACATGTGCTATAGGAAACTATGGGCATAGTCAGAGACAAAGCAAGTGGAAATCTTTTTTTTTTTCTCCCCCGGAACCAGGGATTGAACTCAGGCCCTTGCGCTTGCCAGGGAAGCGCTTATTCCACTGAGCCATCTCCCTGGCTGCAAGTAGAAGTCTTTGAAGACAGAAATGAGAATTGTATCAGGTATTCTGAAACAATAACCCTTGGCTGTAATGATAAAAACAAGAATGCGGTCAGTCTGAGGTTGACAAGAGAGCTGCTGGGCAGATGTCCCTGTAGCAGTACTTTTGCATGCGGGTACAGTGTTCTTAGTCCAAGCTTGGGTCTGGCAGTCTTCTGTGATGTAAACATTGGCAATTGTGCTTAACATATCCTATCCTTCTCAACTTTCCAGTTTGATTTACTTTTTTCATTAGAGTTGACATAAGTGACTACTTTGGTTTTGAAAACTAACACACTTCCAAAATATACAAGGTATCCCAGTATGATGGATTAAAACAGCCATGAAAATGACAATTTGTACTACTGAGTCTATACTTTTTGAGCCACTCATATAGTGAAAAGCAAATGAAGACAATGTGGACTAAGAATCTGTAAAGGCTGAAAGTTAACAGACTATTTCACACAGGTGCATACCATATAACTCAAATTGAGAAACTTACACACCATAGTCACGTTGCTGTCCAACTGCTGTGATTTCCAGTGACTTCTGTGTTTATTTACATTCTATAGGAAGAAAAGTTAGTGATCTTCAGGTGAGCAAACAACAGCAACAATCAGTTTCTGCACAAAATTCCAACCATACTAAAGTTTGGACAAAAATTTTTTTTAAAAAGGACACATAAAAAACAACAAAACTTGAACAATATGTTACAAAACAGCAATGTATCTAGTGATTACAATCATACTAGTGTAATAATTCATAAATACTGCTTTAGAATTGTAACAAACAAATGTCAAGGAGATTTACCTGTCGAACAGCTGAAAACTGTGCCACTTGCTGCTGCTGCCACTGAAGTGTTGGGGAATAACCTTCAGGGGCAGGTTGGCATCCCGAAAGCTAGAAATCAATTGAGAAATGTTAGGATCAATGTTCAGTGTTATAATGAATCTCATGCCTCTGCAAAGAAAAACCAAAATGAAGTATAACTGGTAAGAGTGAAAAATTAAGGCTATTTAAGAAAAAAAAGGTATTTTAATAGGTGCAAAAAATAGGCATCTCAATTTATTATTTATGCCCCAATTAAAAATGTTAGGAAAAAATAATCACTACAATAAGAAAATTCTTAGATGTCTTATAGCTGGAATTTTTAAGAAATGACACGAATCCTAAAGATACAATCTAGTTTGACCTTTCTGTAATTATAAAACAGAAACAAAAAGAAAGGTATGCCCCACATAAACTGAAATGTTATGCAGATGTACCAACCACCTACCACAAAGGTAATCATTATGTACTATAAAGTTAATTTTTAAAAAAGCACATAGTTCATAATTGATCAGCTAGGTGTGGTGGCCATGCCTGTAATCCCAGCACTTGGGAGGTTGAGGGAGGATTGGTGCAAGTTCTGAGGCCAGGGTGAGTTACATGGTGAGTTCAAGTCTAGCCTGAACTGCATTGTGAAACCCTGTTTCAAAAAGACAATCCACTCCAGGCCCACAGCACAATTGATCATGTACAGACGTAAAATAAAACTTCAAACATTAGGTATATACATAATATATAAAGCATCATGTTCTTAAAAGTAGAAGGGAGACTATTAACGAAGAGGATAGGGATTAGGAAGGGAAAAAGGGAAGAAAGTCATAGGGAAAGGGATGATCAAAGAATGTTATTATGTAAATATGCACAAATAGTATAAAAGGACACCAACTAATCTGTATAACTGATATGAACTAAATATAAAAAAGGGTGTGGGCCCAGAGACAGTTCAGCGGCATAAGTGCCTGCCTGGCAAGCGCAAGGTCCTGAATTCAATCCCTGGCACCAAAAAAAATAAAATAAAAATTTAAAAGGGTGCAAATGGCCCATCAATTAAAAATATCTGGGCTGTGAACGGTGGTGCACCTCTAAAATCTCAGCATTTGGAAGGGATGCATGGGAGGACTGCCATGAGCTGGAGGCACAGCAAGACCATGTCTCCAAATACCAAAAAAAGGATATAAAACATTACAACATCTGAAAATTTCCTGATTGTAAATATCAGATAATGGGATTACTTAAACATAAAAATATTAGAAATGGTTTTTAAATGTCACTTTCCTTTGATCTTAAATCCAACCTCCCAAGGGGGATCTGGGAGAACTTAAATACTTCTTAAAAAATCAAATTTTTTTTGCCCCTATAGATAAACTCTACAAAGACATTTTCTACCACATCTTCTGTGGTATTTTTAGTGCCTAGTACAACCCGAGTCCTTAGGAAAACACATGCTAGATAAATAAATGAATCAATTGTCCACAGTGTACGAGTTGCCAGAATGGTGTAATACAATTAGGTTCTTAGCGAAAATTCAGAACGTGCAAACGTTTAAGATTAAACACCAGTCCAAGCGCCAGCTCGGGCAGACCCAGTGGCGGGGAGTTCGGATCCCCAGGTCTGCCCTGCCAGCCCTGCCCCTGGGGTGCGCTGAGAGGGTGATTGATACCGGGCTGGCACGCCTGTAATCCCAGCGCTTGGGAGGTAGTAAACAGGAGGTTCACTACGAGTCCGATCTACGCAGTAAGACCCTGTAGACCCTGTCCTAAAATACGAAAAAACAAAACAAAAAAAACAAACCCACAACAACAACAAAACACCAGTTCAAAAATAATTATCAAAAGAAAAAAAAAATGTTTATCAATAAAACTTTGAAAAAAAAGAAAAAAAAAACTACTAAAGTAGTATAAGTAGCCAATTAAAAGGCTCTTTTAGCATTAAACTATATCCCTAAAAGGAGATGGACAAATCTCTACAAGCATAAGGGCACTGGAAGTCTCTGAAGGCAGTAAATGTCAACTGTCTGAAGCAAAAAAATACAAGCCACTGTACAAATAGACGTTTATCTAACTCAGTACGAAGTAACTAAGTGGTACCCACACTATAATCAACATGGTTAGGAACTACAGAAAGACGCTGTTGGGTGCTCTGGCTTTATTTTGTGTGCAAGTGGGTGAGAAATCCCCTGACCGTCAGTAAAACTCACAGAAACATTCACACTTTGCTTCCTTTTCAATTTCTTTGGGTCAATCTGAGCTACCACAACATCGGGACACCGAGCTGCTTCGATCCTACAAATAATAAATGCAAACAGTTTAATGACAATTGTGCTTTTACGCAAGGGTCCTGGCAGCTAAGAGCACACATCTCCACAGGCTTTGAGGCGTGCAATCACGCTCCAGAGGCACGCCCTCGTGCGGAAGGGACCCACGCACCCCACAGGGCTCCAAACAGCGCTCGCGCGGCGCCCGGGTGGGGGGGCGTGGACGAAAAGCCCACACCCACGAGGCCAAATAACTCACTGGACCCGCCTCAGGTATTCCTGAGGCGTCCTCGGAGGTACCGAGGGATCAAAACCTTCCGTCAAGTCGCAGGGTTCCACCGGCAGCAGCCGGGGCATCAACTCTTCCACCGCAGACTCCGCGGGTACCCACGCCATAGTCTCGGATCCCGTCAGCGCCGAAGGACGCATGCGCCGAGGCTAGGTCAGGGCGCAGGCGCACAAGTAAGCGCCTTTGGCGCGTAAACTGAGTCGCGGCCCGCTAAAGCGGCGTAAACTGCGCATGAGCAAACCTGGTGCTTGCAACAAGATTAAGGCTCCGGTGGTGTAATACGGACGGCGAGTTGAAATCGTACCTGAAAAGTGGTTCCGGTGCTCTTTGGTTTAGAACTGTCATTTTGTCTGCGGATTTATTTAGGCAGCCCTAATAGTTGTTTTTTAGTTAGTGAACAATATAACTAGCCTTTATTCTTCAATATGCTAAATTCTTCAACCCCCTGGTAAAAGTGTTACATTTAATTCTTACAACAGCCCTGTGGAAGGGTGGCATTTTCTGATTTGGAGGCGAAGAACTTGAGAGTGGTTAACGTGCTAAAATTGTGGCTCTGCTGAAGAGGAAGACAAGCCCAAACGAGGGTTATCTTATGCCACATAGATAAAAAAATTAATTTTCCGCTGGCATTTGTTGTGTCCCACACTTATTTCTTGGTTTTTGTTTGTTTGTTTGTTTTACTGTGTAGTCAAGGATAAGCTTGCTATGTAGCCTTGAAGCATATGTCCTCCTGCCTCAGTCTTCCTAGTGCTGAGATGACAGGCATGTGCCACCATACCTGCCTTATGATTGGCCACTTCTAAGGTCACTTTATTTAAAGTGAACATTATTCCTAGAGTAGCCATTTTTTGTAGTTTAGAAAAAAAAGTTTACATACAAATACTACAAATATAGTGCCAATTACCAATTATCATACACAATTATCATTACAAATGTTCCTCCTTTGAACGACCTACCTGTTCAACACGTGATAGTGCCTAGAGTGGAGGAAAGAAAGAAGGACTCAACAATCCGAGCAGGATTATTGCTAAACCTGAGGGGGACCATACTTTGCACAATAGGGAAGGTTTCTCTTACAGGCGAAGGGGCTTTTTTTTTTTTTTTTTTTTTTTTTTTTGTAAATAGCCCTTTTTGGCAGGTTTTTTGAGGGACAGTCAAAGAAAGCGGGTTTATAGCTTGCTGATGAGCCCTATGTCCTTGTGACTTAAATAAAATGACATCTATGTTTCTCTAAAATAGTGCGTGGGATTATTCTAACTAGCAGTGCTCCTGTCCCAGCTTTATCAGGCATAATGCTATATTAACTGCTGCTTTATGTAACCTTTATAAATATTCATACTCTTTGAATAAGGAAAGATTTTTTAAAGACATTTATTCAGCATCATGATGAGACTATTACATTTAACAGTCAACAACATGGGTGCAAAAAAAGAGCCTACATTAAAACCCTTTGTTGGAACACTTTCCACTTTCCACAGAACAGAAACTAAAGTAACCTGTTCTACTGTTAGTCACAGTCCCTGAGTTCTTGTCCATGCACATGGATATCATCTAAAGCATATCTAGGGCTGGTGAGATGGCTCAGTGGTCTAAAGCACCTACTTAGAACAAGCTTAGCAAAGCACAGGGACCATGGTTCAATCCCCCAGCACCACATGCCAGTCAGCCCCGCCCCCTGGTGGGCTGAGCTGGCCACACACACACACACACACACACACATAAATAAAATAATAAAAAAAAAAGCATATCTACCATGTCTACCATAGCTACCATTGCTTCTGGAGCCACCATAGCCACCTCAATTTTGTGGCTTGGCAAAGTATTGGCCTCCATCACCACCAGGGCCAGGACTTTTGCCTCCAGCATTCTCTTTCTTCATGGGTCCACATTGTGAAGGTTGCATGGTAATTGCCAAAATCAATGCAGCACTGGAAAATTGCTTCCATCATTACCAAATGTACCCAGACCACTGAAGTTTCCTCTGTGACCACAGTTGTCATAGCCACCAAAAGCAGATTCATGACCACAGGAAACTTTGCAGAACCATTGGACCTCTTTGGCTAGATGAAGCACCAGCCATTACCTGCCTGGACAAGGCTTTCCTGACTTCACACCTGTAGCTCTTTGTGGCATGGCATCTGCAAGTGACAATCTTCTGTGCAGAATCGTGGTTATCAAAGGTTACAGAAGTGGAGCCCCTTTTCTTTCCAGTGCCTAGATCAGTCATGATTTCAATCACTTGGATTTGTCCATAGTGTTGAAAACAATCTCATAGGTGATGTTCCTCAGTATCTTCTTTCATTCCACCAACAAAGATCCACAAGTTAGGTGGATGCCTGGCCTCTGGGCCTCTTCTCTGGAAACAGCTCTCTTGGTGTCCAGCACTCTTCCCATCCAGCTGGTGTGGTCTTGCATTCCTGGCTGCATCCACCTCCTCCACAGGGGTGGAAGTGACAAAGGAAAAGCCCCTGGAGTGCTTGGTGTTTGGATCTCTGACCACCACATAGTTGATGAGTGTTCCAGGTGGCTTCTCAGACTCTCCTCAGTTGTGTCAAAGTGCAGCCCTGCAATGAAGAGCTTCCACAGCTATTCAGGCTCCTTAGGAGATATCTACTTGGAAATGACCATGGCAGGGAAAAGAGACTTTGACAATATTCTCTGGGTGGTGTCTGCCAAGGAGTTTTCTGTCTTCAACTGCTGGGGGGCCTCCAGGGATTGCATCACCGGACCTCATTGTCAGCCTTTTAATGGGCAAAATGCGTGATGCAGCATTAGAAGTAGTAGTTGACCAGATGTATAGGAAGTAGTGGTCTGCTTGTCTTGTAATAAAACATGTAGAAATTGGGCCTAGAATGTGGCAAACTCCCTTGACAGAAATCTCACCAGGTACACAGTTGTGGAGTATTCAAGCTCATGTCCCATGCAGTGTGACTTTAGTGCAGTCCTCACCTTCCCCTGCCTGTCCCACTCCTCACTATGATTGGAGCTCTACTATTCCTGGGGAGCTGGCTACCATAAAAGGATCAAATTTTCTCTGTTGTTACTCACTGCAGATACAATAAGGTGCTCTTTGATATTTTAGGAATATACAACAGTCGATATTAAGTTTTTACTTATGAACTGTCACTTAAAAGTAGATCCTCAAATTAAAGTGACAAACCAAGAACACACAGCTTTTAATTTTTTCGTCAAAATCATGGCAATCTTCCTGCCTCAACCTCCCCAGTACTGTGTTTACAGACACTCACTACTATGTCCAAATTCCCTTTTTTTTCTTCCTTCCTTCCTCTCTTTCCTTTTCTTCCTTTTTTTTGGTCTTTTGTTTAAAATTTTTAAAAAAATTTGTTACAGGGTCTTGCTATGCAGTTCCGACCTGTGGTGATCCTCCTGTCTCAGCATCGCAGCTCTGGGATGATAGGCGTGTGCCACCATGCCCAGTTTGGGGGCACTTCGGGTTCTTGGGCCAGGCTGGCATGGTGTGGGGATTGAACCCCAGTCCTGGTCCCCTAGCGCTTGCTTAAGCAGATGTTTTAGTCTGCCAGCTCATTAAATGAGGCAGAAGCGTTGTATGTAGTGTGTACGTTGCAACCTCAGAACAGGGAAATGGGCAAAGAAAACTCCAACTGGTGACTCTGCTTCCATTTGCATCAGTATCACATGCAGTACTGCAATGCATAACAGCGTGAAATGACAGTACTGTCCAGGACGATCAGCAGAGAAGACCGTGCTGTGCTGTGGAAGAAGCTACCACAGGGCTCCACAGTGGCCCAGGTTCCGGCATCCTGAGTCCCCATAGGCTGGAAAGTCTTAGCGGTGGGTCCCAAGTCTGGATAGTCATTAATCAGGTAAGGTTTTTAAACTAAGAATATGCACATTTATTCTCAGGGAAAAGATTGCTGTATGATGAATTTTCTGTCTGTGTGTGTTTGGGGTGGTGGCAGTGATGGTAGGACTGAAGGAACCCAGGGCCCTACACACACTCTGCAAGTGTTGTACCACTGAGTTCCATCCCAGGCCTATTTATTTATTTAGCTAGTTAGTTTCCAGACAGGGTCTCTCAGGCTGGGCTTGACCTTGTGACCCTCCTGTGTCAGTAGCAGGGATTGCAGTGTGTGATACTGAAGAGGGAGACAAACACGGTTCTAGACCAGGCCGCTCTGACACAGAGTAGGAGAAAAGGAGAGCTGTAGTTTGCTGGCTTCTCAGTAGTGCTGCTCAGCTTTCAAAGTTCTGGGGGAGGGGAGAGGACTGAGAGAAGAAGGAGAAATAAAGATAAGAGTCTATATACAGAAGGCTCCTGAGGATTGCAGGGAGGTAACTCCGCAGCATAAGTGCCTGCCTTGAGAGCGAGGATGTGAGCGCAGGAAGAATGAGAGAGAAACTGAAAAAGGCTCCCCCAGTGGCAGGAGCACACAGCCTTGGAGAGGCTAATCTGCAGCTGCCCACCATTCTGCCATCTACCTGGAAGTCTAGAATCTTCTACTTTTTTTTTTTTTTCTTTTTGAGATAGAGTTTTACTAGGTAGTTCAGGCTGGCCTTGAACTCACTATGTAGACCACACTGGCCTTAAACTCACAGTGATCCTCCTGCTTCAGCTTCCCAAGTGCTGGGATTACAGGCTTATACCACCATGGGCATGCTGAGCTAGGTAGGTGGCCTCCATTTACCTCTGCCATATGCAGAGAAAGTAATTTGCATTATGCTATTGAGGTAGTATCTAATGTTGTAGGGACCTGGTGCTGAGCCAAAATGGAGACAATTGCTCTCTTTTCAAGAACAGGTACTCAGGGGCCAGGGAGATGGCTCAGTAGGATAAGCGCTTGACTAGCAAACGCAAGGATCTGAGTTCAATCCCTGGTTCCGCAGAAAAATAAATAAATAAATAAGTAAATAAATAAAAGAACAGCTGCTCAGGTGGTCCTCCACACCAACCCTGCCCCATTCTGTACCCTGGTCTCGGCTCACTTCCCCTTGGTCCCATGCAGAAAACGACAGAAGTTCTCCTTTGTTAACATCGAAAGTCCCCCACAGACCAGGTAGCCCTGCCAAGATTATCTCTCCCTCAGCCGTTCTAGCCTGCAAACAAGCTCCCCACAAAACACCTTAAAAACCCTGAGCTTTGTTTGCTGCTGTCTTGGTCTGCTAGC